GATTGACAAAAAAAAAAAAAAAAAAAAAAAGAGGGTAATGATGAAACAAATGCACAAGGCAAGCTTCTCACCAAGATTTCATGCTTTCTTCTTCTTTTTTTTCAAACCCTTTCCCCAATAAGTCTAGAAGAGACACCCTTCATCCTCCTTGAATTTATTTCCTTGGTTGGATTTGTACCTTCATCCCCAAATATCCAGTCATGGTTCCATACCACTATAAAGTTAACAATCTCATGGATTTTGAAGGGGTGTAACCTTCACCCTGTGAACGGTTTACAAGTTCTTAAAACTTGTTGGCGACTCTTTTACTATAGCTTCCTCCCATTTGGACGCCACCATGCTTAAGTGTATGATCACAGTGGAGCTCAAGTGTGAGATGCTTGAAATATTCCCTACACGTATCCACATCACAAAACCAAGAGAAACTGATTTTGTGGATATATAATTTTGATCCAATTATTATTTTTTTGGATTGGTCTTTTTGTAAGCTTTCCAACGGTTTATCATAAGCCCAATTCCGAGTTAATACGAAGAAGATATGAGCAAAAAACTAAAATTGACCCAAAACCGACACCCTTTCACTAAAACGGCCATATCTTAAAATCTACAAATTATTTTGACCTGATTCTAATGGGTTTGAAAGTATACTTGATTATATTTCCAACGGTATATTATATGCTTTATTCCGAGTTACGGATCAAAAGTTATCATAGTTTTGAAAACATGTAAAAAAACTGGATTTATCGTGCAACAGTGTAAAACGCCGCGCCACGGTATGAGCTGATGTGGCACGGTGCTTTGTACTGTGACACGGTATTTTTCATTGTGTCACGGTGCTTTTTCCGTGTCTTTTCCTCGTTTTCTTACGTGTTTATGATCAAGACGCATTTTTGGACCAACTATACACCGCGACACGGTGTGCTTGATCGAGCCACAGTGTGCCTGACTGTGCCACGGTGGACTTGACCGTGACACGCTGCCCAACATCGTGTCAAGGTGCCCAGATTAGGGTTTTCTATGGCTCTTATCTCTTCTAGGGTTCCGTGCATCCCCTATTTGTCTCCTCTATAAATACAGACTTGATTTATGCAGTTTGGAGGCACCAAAAATCATTCTCTCTCTCCCTACACCAAATCATTTTCTCTTCCTCTCTTCTACACCAAAAAATCATTCTCTACTCTCTCTATCTCTCTCTCTCTCTCTCTCTCTCTCTCTATCTCTCTCTCTCTCTCTGTCTCTCATACTCTAAGCCTTAAACTTATATTCCTAATTACATCATTCTTTCCTTAAGCACTCCAAGGAGTCCATACTTAACCCGGGGTTCCGTCTTTAAACCAAGGCGTGAAAAGTATAATTAACCTAGGGTTTGGACCAAATCAACTCTACTTTTAATTTAATTTAATTTAATTTTAATTTAATTTATATTTTTATTGCAGTTACTAACAATTTATTCATGATGTAGCATTTTACAGGAGCGCGTGAAATGTGAGTAATTAATTAATTTAATTACTTATTTTATTTTAATATTGCTAGTATCATGATTAGGTTTATTTATATTTGATTTGACTAACAATTCATTGTTGAATTTCTTCCAATATTAATGTAAATTTTTACTATATTTTATGATCACCATATTGCATATTAAAGGGAATATGTAATTGAAAATCACGACTAATAAGATAATTTGGACAACCGGTTTAGGTTCCTTTAATCTTGTTATAAATCGAAGTGATCACGATATTTTAGAAATATATGTGTTGCATTAATATTAAACCAATTTAGCCTAATGTTAGTTTGGAGCAAATTGAATCTTTGTTTATATGCCTTTGAGATCGCATGAATCACTTTTCACTATAAGAATCGAGTAGAGGCCTATATGGGCGAATGTGACTCCATGACTCACTTCGTACCATCATTCCTGATCCTCCTTTCGTGGTTCCGAACCATATGGAGTTAGTAATCTCATGGATTATGAATGGGGTGTAACCTTGACGGGTCAATCGTTGTTGCCTATCGTTCACTACTAGAAAACAGGTCATTTCCGACAGAACGGTTCCGACGGACACTAAAATCCGCCGGAAAGTACGAATTTTCCGACGAATTTTATTATTTCCGACGGAATTGTAATCCGTCGGAAAATTATTCACTTCCGACGGATTTTTCGTCGGAAATGTTATATTTTCCGACGGGTATAATTTCCGTCGGAAATTTCCGACAGATTTAAATTCCGTCGGAAGCTACCGACGGAATTTACATCCTTTCCGACGGACTTTAAGTTAAAAAAAAAAAAGAAAAAGAAAACACCCAAAACCCTAATTAAAACGGCGCCCCTTCCCCCTTTTATTTTACTGATTACGCTCTCTCTCCTCTCTCAGCCTCTCTTCTGCTTTTCTCTCCTCTCAGCCTCTCATCTTCTCTTTTGATCTGCTCCTCTCATCTCCTCTTCCATCTCCTCTCTCTTCCCTCTTTTCTCTTCTTTCCTCACGGATCTCCTCTCTTTTCCCTCTTTTCTCTTCTTCTTCTCTCTTCTTTCCTCACTTTTCTTTCTCATGGATCTCCTCTTTCTTCTGATATCTGCCACGAGAAAGCTTTAATGAAGGCCGGCGCCGATGGTTCAATTCTCTTTCTCACGCCTCTCCTCTTTTTCCTTTGCTCATGGTCTTTTTGGTTCATATTAATGGTTTATATGGTTAAATTCGACCATGAAATCCCTAGATCTAGAGGTTTCATGGCCGAATTTAGCCGTATGAAACCAAATTCTAGGAGAACTCAAGATCCAAGTTGGTGTTAAGGTATGTTATCCTGATTTTAATTTTTTCTTTTCTTTTTTTATTTTTTTATTTTTTAGTCGAATTTTGGATTTTTTTTTTAAAAAATTCACTGGTAATTTGTTGGTTGTAATGGTGGTTTTTGGCAGTAGTGTTGTGGTTGTATTTTTTTTTTTGTTTTTTTTTCTTAATTTTTGGGTGGTCTTTTGGTTAGAACTGTAGATTTGGGTTTGGTTTGGGTGTTGATGTGGATTTGGGTTGGTTAGGGTTAAGTGAGTGGGTTATGGTGGTGGGTTTGTTTCGGTTAAGGTGGTTGCCGGGTTTTCTGGGTTCTTCGGACAGTTGGGTTAGGCCGTTAGGGTAATGGGTGGTGGTTAGTGGCGGTGATACGCCGTGCCGGTGGTGCGCAGCGTATTTTTTTTTAATTTCTTAAAAGAATTTTCCGACAGAAATTCCGTCGTAAATTTCCAACGGAAGTGTATCCGTCGGAAATTTACGACGGATTTTTCCGGCACCGGAAATACCACCTTCGACGGAAAATTTCGTCGAAAAAGTGTTTCCGACGGAATTTCCGACGAAAAAGGTGCTTTTTCCTACGAAGCCTTTTCCGACAACCAGTTCCGACCGAATTTCCGTCGGAAACGTGTTTTCCGACGGATTTCATGGTTTTTCCGACGGAATTTTTCCGTCGGAAATGGCCTGTTTTCTAGTAGTGGTTGTCCCTATATTCGTGGTTGCCTTTTTATGATCCGTGAACAGTTTACAAGTTCCTTAAAAACTTGTTGGCCGCTCCCTACATTCCTTGTCCCTAATCGTATTATGTCAATTCTCACTTTCTATGAGTACCAAGCATATTCTCCACATGCTTAACATAGGCACACTTCAAACGACGCCTACAAAGTGGGTTTCTCAACAACAACTTCAAAAAGAAGTTACTAGAGCATCCTCATTGTACAATAATCTATCAGTTGAATCCCTTCATCATTTGGATGTCAAACACATTGATGTACATGTAGATATGGGACCAGTACAATGAACATCATGGGACTCAGAGAACAAAACACAAATAGAAACACTAGCATGTGACCAAAACAAGCAACATCAGGAAAGCACACTCAACAATAGACCACCCCAATCAAAATCAGCCTACTAGAATCAACATCAAGCCACCAGAGTCAACATCAAGCCACCAGAGTCAACATCAAGCCACCAAATTCATCGTCAGCCTAGCACAATCAACAAAGAACATCCAATTCAACAAGGGACCAGGACATAGTAAAATAAATTAGGGTTTGCACAGGGACTCATATTATCCACACAAAACAGCCGTAATATCAAGATTAAAACTAAGAACATTAGAATAAATTAGGTTTAAGAAGTTACGATGCGAAATCAGTTTAGAGGAGTGTAGTATATGGGTAGTAGATATGCAGATAGGTCATGTACACGTCATCCGACTCAAGGCCTTCATAGAGTCCAGATCTGATGCGCTTTGCACCAATAGTTAGGACAACACTACTCTCAATCTACTCAGGGGAATCGGAAGGCTACAAGACTTCACTGTCAACCAGATCTACTAGGCCACAATCCCTAATTGCAAATCTTGCATCAGCCACCCCTTTAACACCTTCACCGACCACGATAGCAGTAGAAATCTTCCCCACAGAAGGTTTCTAAACCAGATCTAAGGCAGAAGTTCGGTCAATAACTTCTTTAGGTCAAGAAACCACCGCCACTGGCTCCCTCTCCTCATTGCTAGAGATTAGGGATGACAACAGGTTAGATTTGGACCGGGTCCAAGTGGATCCAAATCCATATCTGTTTTTGAACACGGGATCCAGATCTGATCCAGGCCCACCGGGTAAGAAAATTGAGGATCCATATCCAGATCCATCGAGTCTTATGGATCTGGGTCCAACACGGATCCTAGATATTTTGCTTAATTTTTAACAATAAATATGATTTAAAAGACAAAATGTGCATGCAATTTAACCCAGATTTCAACACGGTTCAATACTCAGAAGTACTTTAGTCTATTAACTATTATGAAAAACAAAAGCCTAATTTTTATCTATAACCCTTATAAAAGTTGAAACCCCCAACTATTCACTCTTCACTGTGCTTAGGAACAGTAATTTCTTGTGCTTTTACTCCACTACCCCCAACATTAATGAATTTCCAATTCTGCCCTAATTGGTTGATGCCTGTTGCTCTCCCACCAACTTCCTTCGATGTCTCTCTTCTCTTATCATCTCATCTCAGAGAAAAAAGGTTGAGTTGCTTTTTAGGGGAAACAAGGAGAGTGAAACCAATGATGGCGGTGAGCTCAAAACCACCGATCATACCTTCGACGATGGTTATGGGCTTCGATTCTTCTCAGCGTTTCCGATTTCGGGCGGTTGCTAAGGTTACGATTATGGACAATGGTTTTCTGATCTCCAGGTATAATTCTCTCTCTTTTTTCTCTTTCTTGTTCAAATTGATCCAGTTTTCATCTATTCTCTTCAATTAGATTTTACCTTTTATATATGAATGTTAACTGTTTTTTTTTTCTCGTCCTCCTGTTTCTCTATTTTGTCTTTAAAATAGGCGGAAGGAGGAAGATAGAGCAAGGTTTGGTGGACTCGAGTTTGAGTTGGATAAACTCAGGTGTTATTGGTTGTTTTATATTTTTTTTTATTTCATTCCTAGAATTTTTTTTATTGTTGTTGATGTTTATTTGTGGTTTGTGGAATTGATGGAATTTTACTTTGATTGATTGAGAAACAAGATCAGTTGAAGTTAGGCGATTTTTTTTGTGAAATTCGAACTTAGTATTAGTCTCCCTTGATTATAGTTCTGTTTGGTGGACTCGAGTTAGAGTGTTTTTATCTTTGATTTGCATGATTTGGTGTTCTCATTTTGTGAATTTTATGATGTTTGTGTCATATGTTATATGCTTTATGTAGATATGAGCTAATTTGGGTAGGCAGGTTTTGAGAAATGGGAGATCTTGAGATGATTATCCACCTTTTGGGGCAAATTGAAGAGCAAGTGAGTGATTTTCTTATCCTGAATTGACTATTAAATTGTTGGGTTCGTGGGGTTTTTCTTGGTGCTGATTGCATTGGGCAATTGTTCTCATTCATCCTTTGTCTTCTTCTCGCTCATACCTTGCCAAAGTAGGGGCTTTCTGAATTATGGTATGCTTTTCCTCTCCCTCCCCTCCCCCATCCTCCCTTCCTCCCTTTTTGGGTAGGGTGTTTCTGCTCAGGTACATGTGTCAAAGTGTTTTAATACATCGTTTTTAGGTTGGTTTGTATGTATTTGGGAGGGATGTCTGTGTACAGATTTGTCTATGTCCAAGTATTAGCTTTTTAACTTTAATGCATCATATTATTGGTCCAAAACAAGTGTTAGTTATCTACAACTCCTTGTTATTGTCTGAATATTTAGTCATATGCTATTAAGAGTCACAACTTGCATGTAGCTACTCTTGTCACCTCCTGTTTAAAAAGTGAAAAAAAAAACTGCATTTAACCTCACACTCACTCTCATCCTCACGGGCCTCACCCCCTCACAATTACAGTCAAGTGCTGAACTGTCATCTTTTTCCATACTTTACCATTGATATAAATGCATAATCCTCTATTTCTTGTAATTTTGCAGGTTGTAAATAGATTTTTGTTTTAAATTTGTTATGGTGGATTGAATTGATTTTTTGTTGTTGCCCTCTTCACGTCCAAACTACAGTCAATGTTGATATTACCGGACTCCTAGGAAGCAAGGATTTTCTCTTGGTTATCTCTTAGTCCTTAAATTTGCTTTGGGTTTTGTATTTTAATGCTTATTTTTCTATCAAATGCGTGCAAATTTTGGTTTTAGTTTAGGCATATTGTGGCTTAGCCGCCTTTGTTCTAAGCTGCAAGTCTTTTCAGATTTAGCTGTGCAATTGTTTAGTTAATTGAATTTTTTTCTAAGATTTGTTTGGATTCTTAATAGACTTGGTTTATGTTTAAGCAATTTGTCTGTGTGACTGTTATTAATTGTGAAAGGTTCTATTGTAAATTAGATTTCTTTATTTCATCTAAAGAAATAGTTTAAATTTGGTAATATGGAATGGCTGAAAGGTTCACTTGCTTATTCTTTGTAAACGTCTTCAGGCAAAAGCTATGCATGATGCTTGCTGCTCTTACTGCAACCTATGTCAAGTGTTTAATGTTGTTATAAGTAGTTTGGTTTACTGCTGAAATGCATAGGTTCTTGGAATGCAGTTCAAGAACCGTTGCAGACCAATCCAGATCTAGAGGAGGGTTTTTGCTGAGCTCTGTTGTGCCGTTTATGGTTTCGTAAGGTCTTACCTTATATACTCTTGCTACGTTTATAGATTCCCCTGATTGCCAATCTTACATCAGACCATCAGGAGAAATGTGACGAGAGATTTGAGTGTTGTGCTATTTTGGATTTTTTTTTTTTTTTTTTTTGCTCTGCCACTTAAGCTTGTATACAGTATAATACAATGGCCCTGGATGTTTTTCGTTATTTGCCTTCTCTGCATATATTGAGAGGAAAATCGTTCTTATTGATGCCTTTGATCTTTCATGTCTATAAGTCTATTTACTTACGGAAGACATCAAGCTCTGCAATATTCTTCGGAATCCATGCCTCTATTTCTGTGGCTGTGTGCTAATGCATGTGTAAAATTTGTTTTGATTGTAATACCCGATACAAATTCACAAACATAGCGACTAAATTGCAATTTTCAGGGAAGGTACAGCTTTTGCTTAAGAATTTATTGGCATATAATAATATTTTGCCTCAAAATTTTGTTCAATTTGATGGCTGCATTAATTAATGGATAAATTGGATTTTAACACCTGACAAAAGGCTGAAAATGGTTTTTAACACCCCCCAAAAAAAAACTTTTATTTTAACACCTCCCAAAAATATAAAAGTTGGAAGTTAACACCAGTTAACGATTTCCGTCACGGAAATTTAACGTGGGTCCCACAAATTGGCTTCAACTTCAATTTTCACCCAGCAAAACACGAAACTTCCTCTCTGAACCTTCATTTCATTGATTTTATCCATTACAGATTTTTGGTGCTCATAATTTACAGATTTACAGATTTTTGGTGCTCATAAATCAAACCATACAAAAAATAAATAAAAAAATTCAACACCGGTTCATCTTCTCCTTCGTTGGAGAACAAAGCGACTGAGAACTTCCATTTTTTTTACCACCAATTCCGCCGCCCATAAAGGGCCCTCTACGGCTACTGACCAAGCCTTCGCAGCCAGCAAACATGTTTTGTCCTCTTCCAACCAAAACACTAGAATAGCCACCATAGAAACCACCACTCCGGACAACCAACAGTGGCGAAAATCGATTTCCCCAGCGAATCCAACTCGACCAAACCTCCAGGCTATTCCCTCAAAATCGTTGTGAACTCAACCAGCAAGCCCACAATATCCACCACACAGCTCGCCTAAACTCTGCAACCAATCTCACAGTCAAATTTTTCAGAGCCACCACGTTCCTTACCAGCACCTCCGCGAGATCTTCCACCAGATTCGCCAGCGAAGCCACCTCGGCCCCCCTCACCTTCCCCGTCCCGATTCCATCCCCCCTTCTCCGTCCTGATTTCGGCCCTCCACCCGTCTCAAAATGTCTCAATTCCCCCAATTTCATCAAGCTTTAACTCAATCAAGCCCTAATTTCCAACTCCGAATCGGTCGCGAAAACGACGACGACCTTATTTGGGCTACTATCCAACGACTTCCTTCTATTAAATGATCAAATTTTGCTGATTATTCGTCGAAATGACGACTGTGGTGGTGTGGGAGTTTCTACCATTAATGTAACCAAGCTTGATCGGAATCATCGCGAGTGCATTTGGGGGTGGGTGAAGGGGGATGGGTTTGAAAGGAGGTGGGGGCTGGCTGTCGGGAGAATTGTCAATGGCTGTTTGTTGGCCGGTGCCCGGTGGGCAAGAACGAAGGAAAGAGTTTGGGATGGCAGCCATGAAGATGAAGGGAGGAAGAAGACGAAGAAAAGATGAAGGGAGGAATAAGAAGAAAAAATGGGATGGCAGCCACGAAGGTGGGTTTCGTAAAAAATTGAAAACGAAGGAGAGCGAAAACCAATTTATGGGACCCACGTTAAATTTCCGTGACGGAAATCGTTAACTGATGTTAACTTCCAACTTTTATATTTTTGGGAGGTGTTAAAATAAAAGTTTTTTTTTGGGGGGTGTTAAAAACCATTTTCAGCCTTTTGTCAGGTGTTAAAATCCAATTTATCCTTAATTAATCAAACCTAAAGTGTAATGAGACTTCATTTTTCATTGTGTGTTGCAGCATTACTACCACCTTCTTATGTGCTTGAAAGAACCCCAAGGCAAAGGCTTTGAGTTGGCAAGAAAACATATTTTATCTAGCTTATTACAGCTGGAACAAATGCAAAAATCAGCTGAGTTTCTGAGGTCTATAGGATGCTTGACAATATTGTTCTGTTAAGTGTTTTGTGTATTTATTACAATACTTTTTTTTTTGGGAATTTTGATGATTATAAATTGCTGAAATTATATTTATTATTATAAAATACTTATTTTAAATTATTACACCACTTGTCTTTTCTGGAAATTTTACACACCATATTCAATTTGACAGTAACATTTATCACCACGTTATTTATCAGAATAGTAACTTTAGGCTTCTTCTAAGGTGGAATATTGTACCAATCCATTTCATAATCTCGAGGTTCTAGGGTCATTTAAGTCAATAATTCTAAGTACTATTTCATAATATGCAGTTTAATAGAATTATTGATGTGCTGTGGATACCATATCTGTCTCCTTTGTCTTTCTTGTTCTAATTGGTTCAATTTTCATCTCTTCTATTAGATTTAACCTTTTATATGAATGTTGACTGCTTTTGTTTTTTTTGTTTATTTCTCCTCTTTTTTCCTTTTTTTTTTGCCGTTATTTTTTTCTCATCCTCCAGTTTCTCTGATTTTTCTCTAAAATAGGCGGAAGCCAGAAGGAGGAAGACGGAGCAAGGTTTGATGGATCTTGTTTTAGAGACATTATGTTGGACCCTGTTGTTTTATCTACTAGCTAGGTGCGATTGGCTAATGTAAATTAATTTTTTCTTGGGTTTTCGTTTAATTTTTATGATTATGTTGAATATTTGGAGTTTAATTTTATAGAACATTGTTGAATTTTCTAGGGCATAAAGTGAAGAAAATCAGGAGGAAGGAAGAGAAAGAAAGAGAGAGGTTTGGATCTTAGAGAATCCCGGCCATGGTGCGTAATTTTTCATTTCTAGCTGCACACGTTGGAGAATTACAGGGGTTGGTGGTCATGATTGAATTAAAGAAGATATTCTTGACCGAGTCGTCAATATTCATGCCCAGCTGAGTTCATTCGAATCTAATTCAATGTGATTATTTTCTTTTTCTTGTAAATATGTTATTATTTAATTGATCTGTTTAGTTTAATTCTGTTGCTCAGCCTGGTGATGTTTTATTACTCCATAATCATTTTAATCAATTTGGCTAATTTTTGGGAGTTTTGTGATTATCTTTTGAAACCTTTTTTAAAACCAGTTTTGTGATTATCTGGGTGTTCTTAAATTATGTGAAAGTTACGGTTTTTATTACTTCAAATGGTAAACTTTTTAATCAACTTTGTTTTTTATACAAAAAAATCTTGGGTTTTTAACTATGTAGATGTTTAATTACAAGTACAAGAATCTTCTGTCAAGTGTTAACTTGACGAAGGATTTTATTTTTACAGCTATACAAATCCAATTATACAAAGCTTGCAAAAAAAATATATGTGCAGCTCAAGGATTTGGTTGGAATCGGTTCATGGGCTTTTTAAGCAAGTATGTAACTCATACTTTCTTCTTGGGCTCTACATTGGTTAAAAAAATGACACAAATGAGTCATGGGATGTCGGTGACTCATAGTTGGTATCTTAATAATCAATCTGATATTCTGATGTTTTCTTTTTTGAATGGTTTTGGGATATTTGCGAGGTTTTAATTTTACATGTACATTATTCTAGGTTGTTATTTTTTTTCCTTTATGTTTGATACCTTTTGTATGCCCTAGACACAGTTATATAACTGATGACATGTTATTGAATTTTGAAGATTTTCCTCTATGATATGAACCGTAATCAATTAATATAAATGAAGGACTTGGCTTATTTTGTGTTTTTTCTCTTAATTTCCTATTTATGTTGATTATTGAACAATGCGGTATTGATTTCATGATTAGTATCCTAAATTGGTTGAATCAATTTTCTGTAGGCTGAGAAGTTGTACACAAAATTGCAGTTTTGGGTTGTTTGGTGAAAAATCTCATTCTATAAGTTTTAAAATTTTTCCTTTTAGTATTATTGTAAAACACATATCTTGGAAAATGGCTTGATGCAATAGAGCTGGAAGAGTTTCAATATTGACGTTTTATAGTGGCCAAGGAAAGAAAGTGATGTGGATTGGTTATTAATTAAGATTTTGATGTGCTAAATATCATAGGTAGATTGTTGTAACGTGGATAGCGTTTAGTAATCACTCAATTATTGATTGGTTGGTCTAACAAACTACTATGCTAGCATCTTTAATTTTAATAATCATTTTACACTGCCAAGTTAAAGAGTTTTGGTATAGCATAGTGTATGCTAATGTGATAAAGAGTTTTAAGTGAATGTGTAAGGTCTAGCTTATTAAATTCATTTAGCTTAGTAGTTATGTTAAAAGGGAGCTCTAGAGTTTGTGGAGTGACCTTTATTAAAGGGACAAGAGATGAATGCATAGTTTAGGTATGTGAGTTGTGAATTACTTGAAAACGAAAGGATAACTATGGTTCTGTTATCCTAAAAATCAGTTAAGCTAAACAAAAATAAGTTAAATTTAGCTAATATAAATTAAGTTTAAACAAGTAGAGGTTAACGAAGCTTAATTGAGTCGTTATGTTGTGAGGAAATTTGTGTCATTGAGTGAGAATATGAAGAAAAAGCTAAAGACTTTTCTCTATCAGTTGGAGGGTTAGGGCTCTCATAGGGTGGAATTGAATGCCTAATTATAGAGCGACTGAGCAAATGTAGGGAGCACTTTTTGTATGTTTGTATGATAACTTTCTAGAGCTTCTGATCAATTGTTGGGATTTGCTATCCTGTTATGCAGGGATCACATCATTTTTTAGCAAGGCTGAACATTTTTTCGATTAGGAGAATAGCTTTAAGGGGTGGCTGAGCATGCATATCTGATTATCTGTTCAGACAGCTTGTACACGATTCATAATAAGATGATGTAGTAATGATTGTCCTATCTAACTTTCTTGGCATGCTATATTTAATTTTGTTTCAATTCAAAATTAATTGCATGATAAAAGGGTCGTTTGAGCCAACAATTCTACAATGAAACCCAAATGGGGATAGTACTATAATCTTTTCAGTAGTTTTTAGCTCTTAGGAAGGAGTCATGCTTGGTAACGATGGATGATGAATCACTTTCAGATTTAGACTATTCGACAAGGATAGAGATGGTATGAATTCTTCTTTGTTTATTCATTTTGATTTTGGTTTTCTGGTCATTTTGTATCGTATGATGATTTAATCTTGTGTAAATCTTGTTTTGGGTTTTTTATGTATTACCTTTTACTTGCCTAGCTTGATTATGTTGGTTTTAATTAGGAATTGATATTGTGATTGATTGTATTTTATACTTGATTTAATTATGTATGATTAGTTTGGAAAGTATGTGGGATTATAGTAAATTTAATATGTGGTTGGTTTTATATGATCTAATTGGTCTAATGGACCTGTTCATTATAAGATCTAATGGAGTCTGATTCCTTATATGATCCAATGAGTCTGTTTGATTTTATATAATTAGGAAGTCACCGTCGAGAAGATGTCAAAATGGAGAGAAGAAGACTAGAGGTCATTATTGAGAAGCTGATATTCGGGTATGTTTTGTTTAAGAATGTGGGCTTCCAAGCTTTTTTAACTCCATTGAAGTTGAGAGAATGCTTTAGGTGTCGACAATAATTGGTATATAAAGTAATCATCTTAGTAAACAAGGGTGATGTGGCCCTTTATTGTTTGATTTTGTAATTATAAACATTTGTGTCGTAATATGTTTAGTTGTTAACTACTACTTAGAGCAATGTTCTATAGGAAAATGTACATGGAAATAACTCAATAGTCAATAAATTTCCCTAATTTCAAAGAGTTATGTTTTTTTGAATGTAATCAATTCACCAAATTTCCCTGTTATATACAAATATCAAACTTTCGTAAGCAAGGCAATGCTTTGGAATGAGTTTAATTTTTTAGCATAAGTAATAAGGTGTTTGCAATTAGTTTAATTTTAAAAGTATTATAAATCATTGTCCTTGGTATTTTGAAGTGTAATCTGATTTTAATTTTGCAAAGTCTAATTATATTTTAATTTAAATTTAAAAGTGTAAGTATAACCCATTGTGAAAATATTTGGCAAATTTACTTTGAATGTTTATGGCTTTTTTATCAAAGGATGACCTATTATCCAAATAAAACCATATAAGTTAATGATTATTATAAGTTGGAAGATTAAGAGTATGAAAATGAAGAAAGGTGTCGTCCAACAGTCAAATAACAACAAATAAAACATAAATATTAATATACATTTACAGTATAAGTCAAGTATTACACTATAATATCAATTTAGTAGTGACTTGGACATTAATTATGAATAAAGAATCGAACTTATTTCTAATGAGTAAAATTACGAAACACGTTATATACATATGTTTTTAAGCAGGACGCTGCTTTTACCATTCACATGCATACAAACCTAAACACATTACAGTCATTAAAACATATCCAATTAACATAAATCAAACTTGCATGCATTTTAATAATCTTCAAGATAACATATTTATTAACATGAACAAAATTACATATCATAGCGTTGGGGGGCGCGCGCATTGTGCGCGCACCAACAACTAGTTTATTTTTAAATGTCAGTTTGTCATGGAATGTCTATATTTGCTTACAATTTCACATTCATCAACCACAAAGATCCAACAATTACAACTACTATATTATAATGGCAAGAATGATGCAAGACTAAATTGATGAACACTATACAACGGTTAAAAAGGAATAACGAACTATTAATTAAGGAAGAATTAAGGTATCCGTTCAGTTTTTGATTTGGATTTAGTTTAAATCCGATCCAATCCGAAATATAATTCGGTTTTCAATTTTCCAATCCGATCCGATTTGAATTTCTTTCCCGATCCTATCCGAATTAAAAATCGGTTATTTGGATCCGATTCAAAAATCCGAATTATAATATTACCTTTGGATCAAATTATTCGTAACTTTGGAATATTATTTGTGAGATATTAAATATTCCAAATTAGGACCGGAGGTAGTATATTTTTTATCAGATGATACGATTATAAAAATAAAGCTGTAATATAAATACAAGTCTTCAAAATCATGATTAAAATAGATAATTCAACATCAAGTCATTAATTAATTAATGCAAAGTCTACCTAATTTTTTTTATGGTATTATTAAGTATTTGGAACGATTTTCCTAGATATTGTTGAAATCAAAATTAATTCCTACTTTGCATTGTTTTAAAAACTTATTCCCTAAATAGTGTCCACGTAGGATCAGACATTAGCTTTTTTTTTTTTTTTTTTTGTAAGGTGTAGAACCGCAAATCCTGTAGTACGAGTACACACTACACAGTACAAATCTGTACAATGATGATAAAAATTCAAATTGGGCCCTACAAAAAAAAACACATTTTCTCTTACCACGTTCTTCTCTATCTTCCCATTTTCTCTCTCCTGTACTTTCATTCTTGTTTTCTTAATTGTAAAACTCAAATCTTGTTTGATTTGATCTTCTCTGTTCTTCCTTTCTCTAAACTCAGCTTTTAATTGTAATTTTTTTTCTTTTGATTTTCTAGGTAATATTATACAATTATGAATTTAGGGGAATATCTCAGCATTCAACCTAAAGAACTCCAATTCCATGTATTTTTTTTTTCTTCCTGTTTTTCTTTGTAATTTTTTGCAGTTGGGGCTGTTAATAAAAACTTGCAGGGTTAAATGGTGAGATTATATCAAATTATCAGTGGGATGGTTAAAAAAACTTGCAAAAAGAAACGGCAATAGAAAATTAGCAATATTGGTTCTTCATATACAACCGCTACCAACAATTGCGGTTGTACATGTAAAACCGCTATCCTTCCTTGCGATTCTACATAACCAAAAAGAAAAAAAAAAACCTAATATCCGATCCTACGTGGACACCATTCAGGGAATAAGTTTTTAAAACAGTGCAAAGTAGGAATTAATTTTGATTTCAGCAATATCTAAGGAAAACGTTCTAAGTATTTGAGCTAAACTTAAAAAACAAAAAAAATCATATTTATATAAGCTTGATTTTACAATTCGGTTTTCGGTTTGAATTGGATCCATTAGGGTCAATCCGATCCAATCCGAAAATCCAAAGTTTTAAAAATCTCAATCCAATCCGATTCAAAGTTCGGATCCGATCCGAATTGATAATTCGATTTGGATTGGATTGAATTTCAATTTCGAATTATGGACACCCCTAGGAAGAACAACGTCAATTAATTAAAATGAAGAACAATATCAACTAGTTAAAGTTGAGTTGTTCAACTCGAGTTCTTCAGCGGCAGTTTGAGGCAACATTTGTAATAAATGGAAGAACAACATCAATTAATTAAAGTTGGGCCATAACTCCATTATTAACATTAACACGAGAGTTTGATTTCCTCCCTCCTTCATGCTTAAATTACCTAATGCCGGAGATTGTAGTCCGCCGCGAGAGATCGATGTCGATTGCCTTGATGAGGTATTGTGGTTAGATAAATTGGGGTAGAGAGAGTGAGTGAGAGTATGGGGGAGTGTCGGTAGAGAGAGGGAGTTAGGCCCCGTTCGTTAGAGCTGCTCTGCTTTGCTCAGCTCAAAAGAAATCTTCTCTGCTCTGCTTTGCTCGGCTCTGCTCTGCTTAATTTTCAAATAATAATTAATATTCAATCATAATAATTAATATTTTATTGATGATAATAATTTATTATTTTGAATAATTATAATAATTATTAATATTAAAAATAATCATTATTATTTTTAATAATATTAAATGAAATCTGCTCTGCTCTGCTTAATTTTCAAATAATAATTAATAATAACGACAATAATAATTAATATTCAATCATAATAATTAATATTGTATTGATGATAATAATTTATTATTTTGAATATTTATAATAATTATTAATATTAAAAAAAATAATAGTAATAATAATAATAATAATAATAATATAATAATAATAATAACAACAACAACATTAATAATAATAATAATAACAACAACAACAACAACAACAACAACAACAAATGTTGTTGACATTAATGGAAGTAGTAGGCATATTTTGTTTTTATACGGAGCGTCAAGGGTAGAAGACCGGCCTCATGTGTGGGATGAAATCTCCCGTCTCATTTCTCACACTCCTAATGTATTAATTATGGGAGATATAAACCAACTAGAGTATTATGGTGATAAGTTGGGAGGTTCGACGTTGATTAAGGGATTAGATGTGTTTTTAGATAAGAGATTCCAAACTAATCTCCTTGAGGTTCCTTTTACAAGTCCCCGTTTTACTTGGTCAAATAAGAGGTTAGGGATGGATTTGATCATGGAACGGTTAGATCGGGCTTACTCTTCTTCACAATGGTTTGATGATTTTCCGGATGGACGGGTGACTCATGAGCCCATTACGGTATCGGATCATGCGGATATTATATATGAGTCTAGTAGTAATTGTTTGAAATCTAATATACCGTATCAAATTGAGACTTGGTGCCTGGTTTTCCCAGAGATTAAAGACTTCATTGAGAAAGCGTGGAATTTACAATTCTCTGGATCGATCATGTTCAGTTTACAGAAACGTTTAAAGTGGCTCCGAAATAAAATTAAAAAATGGTGTTTGGATAACAAAAGGTTCTGGGGGATAAACTGGAGGAAGTACTCGACTGATCTTCATGATCAAGGTGGAAGGGTAAATAATTTGGAGCAAGGTAATAGCTATGTGGCAGCGATCAATGATACAATCACTCAGAGTAGCTTAGAGTTTAAATATTGGCAACAACGGATGAAAGATAGGATGATTAAGGAGGGAGATGTTTCCTCTAAAATGATGTATGGTAGGGTAAAGCATCGACAGAAAAGGAGGCAAATTGTTACATTGAGGAAGGATGATGACACTTGGGTGCAAGGACAAGAGGATTTGGAATCTCTAACTTGGGATACTTTGAGAGAAGTTTATAACCCCCCAATGGTCTCCGCGGTTATAATGAATGAAAGGATTGACTTAGTGCTACGGGAATTGGAGTTACCTTCGATAGAGAGGGAGGAGGCATCTTCCTTGGTTCGCCCTTTCTCGAGCCAAGAAATTCGGAAGGCGATGTTCTCAATTCACAATTTAAAGGCGCCGGGTCTGGATGGCTACATTGCTGAATTCTTTCACCAACACTGGGAGGCAGTGGGCCCTTCGGTAGTTGAGTCGGAAGAATCCTTTTTCTCTACAAGTTACCTTTTAAAGGAATTAAATGCTTCCATTCTTGTTATGATTCCCAAGGTTGAGTGTCCGGAATTGCCTTCACAGTTTCGACCTATTAGTTTATGCAATACTATCTATAAATGCATAGCTAAGTGCTTGGTTAATAGGATGAAATCTCTTTTACCGAACCTTATTTCAGAGTTTCAACACGCTTTTTTGCCGGGTAGATATGTTGAGGATAATGTGATTCTTAGCCATGAGTTACTACATTTGGTTAACACTAGTAATGGTGCGTCCACTAAGGCTGTGATTAAGTTGGATATGTCAAAAGCTTATGATCGGGTGAATTGGTCCTTTATTTTAAGGGTTCTTAGGGCTTATGGCTTTCAAGAAGTCTGGATACAGTGGATTTCACAATGTATCTTGACGGTCTCTTATAAGACTCTCATTAATGGCCAGGTGTCGGGGATGTTTAAGCCGGAGTGTGGTTTACGACACGATGACTAGGGATGTCAGTGGGGCGGGTCTAATAGGAGACCCGCCCCATCCCCGCCCCGATGGGGCGGGGATGGGTCTAGCTTTAGCGGGTCACGGGGCGGGGATGGGTCTAAAATCCATACCCGCCATGGGTGATGGGGCGGGGATGGTTTTTATGTAATACCCGCCCCGCCCCGCCCTGCCTGACCCACCCCGTACCCGCCCCTCCCCGCCCC